ATTTGAAATATTGAAATTTGAGTTTTGAAATATTTGTTTCGATACACAGCGAGAAGTAAAAAAGAAATAATGGTCTTTAAAATTGTGGCAGTCGAGGCTAACCCATATTACTAAAACGTTTCCAGTCTTTGGGACCTTTCTCTTTGGACTCTAAAGATTCACAAGGTTGATTTACGGGTGAAAGAGTAAGCATCATATTTATACAGCTATTGTTTCTCCTAAAGTTGAAATATCCTAATTGAAACCTATGCAACTGCCCATACCATTATCCAGTGAAGTAACAAGCCATAGGAGAGACTAGGTGGGAGAAGCTATTGTCAAAAAAGTCACTTATCCTAATTTGTTCATGAGCACCACGGTAGTCTTTTGGATTACAACCTTCTATTGTTTGTTTATTTACACAGCCTGTGTTTGTGCTTACAATTGCAGAAAAAACATGTGATGTTGTGCATACTTTAACTGCATAGTTTTTTAATCATAAAATGAATTATAACTGAATCTGCGTATTTAATGCTGGCAGAAAAACTTCCTATTCTAACTTGGGTCCAGGTGGTTGGAGGCTTGCAAGTTAACAGACAATAGATGAACAGAGGATAAGACAAAATGTACTTACACAGGCATGTGGCAGTGGCTCAGTACTGAGTAGTTCACTGAATAGCCAGGGATAAAGTTTATATACCAAACTTTAGGGAAGGGGTGTTTTCAGGTTTTAATGAATGGATGGTTCTGATAAGCCTTGTTTACACAATATTTTGGAATGTCCTAGTGCCTAAGATCAGTTCTTCCCTGACTGGAGACCACTCCAGAGTTAAGGGTTGTGGTAGCTGACTTTGGCAAATATCTGTTTTAGTAAGATTAGGTTATGTTCAGAACATATTTTTTTTCTGCTTATTTAGCTCAACTGTTTTCACTTTAAAATAAAATTTGTATGAACCCCTGGGGCTCCAAATGGGTCTCCACATTTTTCCCATCTGAAATTTCCCTAGAAATTTCACAAAAATAGCTAGGTTGATTGCTCTGGGGAGAAATTTCAGGTTAAAAATTATAAAATATGATATCTGTAAAAGGGAAACAGAAAAAGATTAATGATTGGAGCATAGGATGAATCCAGTTTTTAACTTCATAGTATAGCCCACTGAGAAGGGTTCTTGATGTTAGGCTCTAAGTATCTTAAAGGAGAACAGAAGTGGTATACCTGTAGTCATGGTTATTTTCTGGAGCATAGCATGGAAGGTGCAAGTGTTCTGGTGAAATTTTTGAGTGGCCCAAACTCTTTCAGCAATAAATCTTTTGGTGTTTACGTGAAATAAGAAAGCTTTTGTTACGGGATTTTGGGAAAGTGGCAGTTTTAATTCTCAGTGATTCCAAGTAAGGAGGGTGGTAGAAAAAGTAGAACTGTTGATTGATGACAAAATTAAGAAGATGGTAGTACCCAGTTACAAAGAGATGCAAGTAGCTAAAAAACAATAAAGATTAGAATCTAGTAACCTGTAAGAGTAGTTTATAGTTTTCCATTGAAACATAAACCTTGTCTTTACAGTACACCTGATTTTTAATCAATGATAATCAAAGGAAAATTATTCTTGTTTGCAAAACAAGTCCTGATTACATTTGATTTGGCTTGATTATAACCTAAGTGAAGCAATAATGATAACTGACCACATGGATCTTTTTAAGTTTCCTCTGCTGAAGTTTTTTATTAACATAAGGAATCTCAGATTGGACTTTTAAAAGTCTTCTCAATGCTGTGAAACCAAGCCAAGAACCAACCACCTTACTTCACCTGCAGTACCTATAAATTTTTGTGAATTCCTCTCTTCTCGAGGTCCCCAGACTATCCCAAGTATCCTAAGCCCACCCAGAAGTGACCTTTGTTACTTATCTTAAAGGCTAGAAACCCTGTAATCTAGGTATCAGGCCAGTTTTTCCAAGAGACCTTTGTAAGCAGTGGCTCTATAAAGTCAGTCTTAGCTCATGCCTATAATCCCAGCAATCTGGGAGGCCAAAGTTAGAGGAGCACTTGAGCCTCTCTTGAGCCTCTCTTGAGTTTGAGACCAGCCTGGACAACATAGTGAGACTTAGTCACTAAAAAAAAAAAAAAAAAAAAAAAGAAAGAAAAAAATGTTACTCTACTCTAAACTGCCTGATCATATCTGATTTGATGTACATAATTCTCAAATATGACATTCCAGTCCAAGCTATGGTTATATAATCAATGTTTCCAATTATTTCTTCATCACATTACCTAGGGTAAATTGTGGGGAAAAGAAAGATCAGACTGTTACTGTGTCTATATAGAAAGAAGTAGACATAAGAGACTCCATTTTGTTCTGTATTTGAGATGCTGTTAATCTGTGCCCCTACCCCCAACCTTGCCCTTGCAAGAGACATGTGCTGTGGTGACTCAAGGTGTAAAGGATTTTGGGCTGTGCAGGGTGTGCTTTGTTAAACAAGTGCCTGAAGGCAGTATGCTTGTGAAAAGTCATCACCATTCTCTTAATCTCAAGTACCCAGGGACACGTACACTGCCAAAGGTCGCAGGGACCTCTGCCTAGGAAAGCTACGTATTGTCCAAGGTTTCTCCCCATGTGATAGTCTGAAATATGGCCTCGTGTGAAGGGAAAGACCTGATCATCCCCCAGCCTGACACCCGTGAAGGGTCTGTGCTGAGGAGGACTAGTATAAGAGGAAAGAAGGCCTCTTGGCAGTTGAGATAGAGAAAAGCATCTGTTTCCTGCCTGTCCCTGGGCAATGGAACATCTCAGTGTAAAACCCGATTGTATGTTCTGTTTACTGAGAAAGGAGAAAACTGCCTTAGGGCTGAAGGTGGGACTTGCTAGCCTAGCGGCAATGCTGCTCTTTATGCACTAAAAAGGTTTATGGAGATGTTTGCATATGCATATCAAGGCACAGCACTTTTCCTTAAACTTATTCATGTCATGGAGATCTTTATTCATATTTCTTACTGCTGACCTTCTCCCTAGGATGATCCTATTATCCTGCCACTTCCCTTTTTCTAAGATGGGTTTATAAAATTATTGGACATACTGCTTCTGGAAGATGTGATTCCAAAGGGTCATCCCAAGTAGCAAATGACGATCACCACTGTGTCTTCCAAGGATAGTAGGGTCAATTAACTGCTGTTTTCTTCATTTTGTTGAGCTCCACCATGAGCTAGTCATGTCACTCTAGGTAATATCAATCAATAACCATATTATTTTGCTTAATACAGTTGAAAATTACTTGAGTTCCCTAGGAAATTCTAGGTGTAAGGAGAGGGTAACACAAAAATAACCACATAGGAATCAACATAGGAAGTGATAGAAAGGGACAGTGTCAAGAAATCTCTGATTTAATTATTTCATCGTGTGTGCCAAAACCAGTTGGCCCCAGAATGAACAAGCAGCTTGCACCTTAGCAGGACCCGAAGAGAAAATGAATGTTTACTACACCTCATGAGTGTATTTTCATTTAGTCTAGTTTTGCTTCTCCTCCCCAAACTGATAATTGGGCACTAAGAAAAGCTCTCAAGTCCTAGGTAGAGTTTGAAAGTATCCTTAGAGAAGTGAAGAGTGGATTTCCAGGCTACAAGGTGCTACTATCAGAAGGATTTAAGTAGGTGAAGGGCACATATACAGGAACGCAGGGATGCCTTTCTATCTCTTTCAGGGATCCTTCATCTTTTAAAACAATGCGCATTTCTGATCAGGTAAACACTCACATTAACATGGGTTATACAGTTAACTCACATGACATCAACAGCAAATTTGTTCTTTTTTAAATCCAGGTAAGGTCTATTCATGTCATGTCTCTAATCTCTACATAAAACCAAGAATTACATGTTTAGTTTTATTTTTTGAAATTTAGTGAAGTAACTGCTGGTTGTTTCTGTGAGGGGCAAGAAAGATAAAACATAATTAATGTTATTTAGGTAAACTTTTCCACCAACTTTTATATCTTCAAATTCTAAAAAATGCAAATCTGCTTACAAAATGAACTGAGTCCGGATCCAAATTTGGCTGAAGCTATTTAAGTCTTCTAACCGCAGTTTCATAATCTGAAACATGTGAATATGTACAAAATGATTTTGATTAAAGATGAAATGTATAAAGTACTTAGTATACATTAACAAAATATATGTATCATATATTGATTTGTGCTGCACCTGTACTGAATTAACCAGGTTTCAATAATGACTTGGGCACAATACTAGGAAAAGTCTCTTCCAATGGAAATGTATTAGGTTGGTGCAAAAGCAATTGCGGTTTTTGCCATTAAAAAGAATGCCATTAAAAGCAATTAATGGCAATTGCTTTTGCACCAACCTAGTATCATTGGTTAACCAGAAGTTATGTAGCCTATGCAAAATCAATGCTGGCAAAATGTTAAACAACTACCCTTTAATATTCCCCTATTAACTAACTAACTAAATAAATAAATAAATAAAGGCAGCAAGAGATAGAAAAGCTGTGGGTATGAGGCTTGCTGATAATCTGGGCTGGTGAGAACATAGACTTGGAAATAAGCCTTGACTTGTATAGTTAGCCTACTTTTTATCACAATCAAGTAACCTTCCTAACTTCTCAAAAAGTAGCTAGAAAGTTCTAGTTTTCTTAAAGAACACAGTGATAATCTTTCACTTACTATCTGCAAAATGCTAAACATCAAGCACAAAACAATTCTTTCCTTCCAGAAAGTAGTCATGTAGACTACAGTGTTAATGGCAATTCTGTGACTTATTTTCAGGGGTTTAGCATTTTCATTTAGCTGATTAAAATCTGTTGTAGATGATAATTATGGCAGTTTTTTAAAATCATTCAAACACTCAAAAATGATTTTAAAATGTTTAAATGGCTTGCAGCAGATTTTTATTTCTCAAAGGGTTTCTTTCTACTTATGGAAAATTTGCTTAAATTATACCCCTTTGTCATATTCTCAGTAAATGTTAAATCAATGTACAATGAGTGGATTTGTATTTCTAAAAATAACCTTTTTCACAGGAAGAAGAACTAAGGAAGAGTGGGGAAGCCAAATATGCCCACTTGAGTGATGAGCTTCATGTATTAATTGAAGTGTTTGCTCCACCTGGGGAAGCTTATTCACGTATGAGTCATGCATTGGAAGAGATTAAAAAATTCCTGGTTCCTGTAAGTGTTTTTCATTTTTTACAATGATGTTTCTTATCAGCTTCTATTTTAAAATGCACCTTTGATCTTCACTGACTTTTTAAAAGGAAACTCGTATTGCAAACCAATGATCTATCCATAGGTCGATACAAAGCTAAAATAAAATAGGATACCAAAACCGTTTAACACAGGACCTGGAATGTTGTCATATAGTGATGGTTTAACAGCAATATTTGTCATGCTGGTGTCATGCCAGGCACCAGTTCATAGTCATGAAGAGAAAGACATGTTTATAAACATAAATATATAATTGAAGTTGTAGACTTTTTTATTGCATCTTAATCACTTGAAAGGTTATCGTTTGCAATTTACAATTAATAGGGAAATTATTTCCTGGTATAGTGGAAAGGGAAAGAGATCAGATATGTAATAATTTGAAATAAGACAATGATATCATTTAAACTTATCAAATGTATTTTCATGTGATGGTATGCCAGGTGTTGGCTCATAATAAAACATAATATAAAATAATCAATATTAGTAAAGCCAGACATTTGTTGACTTTAAGCAAAAATTGGAAAAATAAACTCACTCTACTATGTGACGGCAACAGAGAATGTTTATTTAGTAGGGCAACAAATTCAGGGTTGCATACTGAGTAGAATTCTCTACTGATTTTCTAAGAAATAGAGGAAGGCTAAATGAATGAAGCTTTCCTAAAGGTTGACAATTTAGCATTCTAGGAAGAAGTCGTTCAAATAGAAATCTTGGCATCAGGCTTAGAGCTGGGAATAAGATAATTAGAAGAGAATGCTGAGTAAAGTTTTCTGGAGTGTCTGGCAGAGTCTTCAACAGAGAAAGCACGCAGCTAAGATAGATCTGCACAATGAAGAAACTGTAGATTTCTAAATAAGCAATAAACTAAGAGGAAATGGTGGGTAAGGTTCATTGATTGGCAGTGATTTTAAGAATGGGAAAAGAAAAATAAAACCAGAGAATTTCAAGAATTTAAAAGTATCAAGATCTAGTCACATAATCTGTTTGTATGTCCAGTTTAAAAATTAATTTCTCTCAAGACAAGATTATAGAATAATTGCAGACTGTTCTGATTATACCTTAACTTCATTTGCACGCTGAATTTCTGCACAATTTATTATCTGGTGCTCATCTGAACATCTCCCTAACTAGATCTCATATTTATTAAGAATGAGGATGCTATGTTTTCTTTTCCTTTTGCCTCCAAACTAAATGACTAGTGCTGTATTGTACAAGGAATTTTACTGTATTTAGTTCAGACCATACCTCTGGTAACATATATAGTACAGAAATGAGACTAGGACTGTACATTACTAGCACACTTCGTGACTTCAAGTCACTTAAATTCTCAAGGTTTCTGTTTATTCATCTTTAAAATGAAGATAGTTATCATTGACCAGCCTCTATCACAGTTATGGTGAATATTAAATGGGGTAATGCATATGAAAGGACTTAGAAAATTATAAAGCAGAATATTAATGTATGGTTTTAATATATTATGAAAAATATAATAGAAATATCTAGGGATGATTTTCTGCATAGTCATTAATTGATATGCATATACACATGCCATATATATATATATATATATATATATGGCTTACTCTGTAGACTAAGTTAAAAATCCTTTATTAGAAATGTCAGTAATACATCTCACTTGCTCACTTCCTAGACATAATGATTCTTGTAATTATTTCATTTATATACTCTCCTCTGAAATATATACTGTGTAAGGATAGGGCTGGCTGGTAGTATCTCTTTTGGCCAACACTATATCCCCATCTTAGCATCATGCCTAGCACAATAAATATTTATTTGGTAGTTTGACTGATGGAATGATGGAATGGCTGACTAAAGGCATAAGGAGTGATGCAGGGGATAAAATAGCTATCCAGGTAAAATTTGGGGGCTAATAACCCACAATCAAGATGCACCATATATACAGACACAGTTGAAGAATGAAAATATTACCATGACTGGTGTGACATGGCCATACCTACCTCTATGATTTCATCTTGTATATCTAACTTCTTATCATTGCACTTCAGACATGCTGGCTTTTGTTCATTCAACAATCCAGGCTCACTGTTCATTAAGCGCCTGTGAAGATTTTTCTCCAAAGTGTTGACATGGCTGTTTCCTTAGCATCCAGCTGTCAGCTTAAATGTTAGCTTTGCAGAAAACTCTTCCCCAACCACACAATCTAAAGTAGCTGCCCCCTTTACCTTCTATCATACAGTCTTACTATATTTTGTACATAGTATCACTAACCACTGTATTTAACATTATAATTCATTGTTCCATTATACCCTAGCCCTTTTCACTTATTTATTTTCCTCATAGCTCCTATCACCTTCAGATATTTTATGTGTGTGAGTGTGTGTGTGTGTGTGTGTGTGTGTATCTATCTTGCTTATTGTTGGTTTCTGTGCTAGAATATAAATGTCATGAGGGCTATTCTGATATGTCTCTCAATGTTTTATTAGTATGTTTTCCCATCAATGAAAGTCATACATTTATCCCATTTGCCTTGCTTGCGTCAGCAGAAAGCAAAGAATGGGAGAACCGCCAGGGGCAAAAATGAACTGCCAGTGTTTTTTATTCTATGAAATCACTTGGTGATCTAAGTTTCTTTTGATATTTGGTATTAAAGCCCACAGAAATGCTAACTGTCTATACATTAACACTTATAAACATTGTAGATAAAGAATTCTAAGCAGTAAGAGGCATGCTAGAACAACAAAGAAGGCTAATATAGGGCAATACTGGAATTCCACTGACATCTTGTTCTTCTACGAAAGGGAGTAATTTTGCATGGTAGGACTTTTTACCTTCTTCTACCTCTTATATGTTACCCAGAATATACTCAACCTGCTGTATGTCCAGGAGTTGTAATTGTCCAAGATAACCAACTTTAGAACATAGAACTCCTTCTGAGCTGTCTGCATGCCTTATGATGTTGGTAAACAACCCAGTTTCAACATTTTAAGTAGATTGTTGAAGACAGAAGAATTATTATTGCCTTGGGGACAATTTCCAGCCTGTTGGTCTCCATTCACACACGGTAGCCATTTATTTATTTATTTATTTATTTATTTATTTATTTATTTATTTTTAAGATGGACTCTCTCTCTGTCACCCAGGCTGGAGTGTAATGGTGTGATCTCGGCTTACTGCAACCTCCACCTCCTGGGTTCAAGCGATTCTCCTGCCTCAGCCTCCCAAGTAGCTGAGATCACAGGCATGTGCCACCATGCTCGGCTAATTTTTGTATTTTTAGTAGAGATGGGGTTTCACCATATTGTTCAGGCTAATCTTGAACTCCTGACCTCATGCTCCACCCACCTCGGCCTCCCAAAATGCTAGGATTACAGATGTAAGCCACTGCACCCAGACACACTATAGTCTTTTAAAAACAAGTAGAGTGTCAAGGATCAGTAAAATACCTTTAATTTGAACATTGCTAATTTTAAATCTCTAGTACTTTTGGGAGGTGAAGTATTAAAGTTTTCATTATATTTGATTATTTATCTTAAAAATACAGGTTAAAATTGTAAAATAAATTATTTGGTGAGTAACGACAAACAGGATATAAAGTCCTAAACTAATATATGCTTCAATAATGTTGATGCACTTCTCTTCCCTTTATATTCCATAAAGAAGTAAACAAGTATTGCCACTATTATATTTTATACTATTTATTTCTTTCATAGTTCAGACACCAGGATTACCACATATGGTTGTGAGAGTTGTGTCTTGCGCAACTCTAGGGTTGACTTTTACACCATAGTTTGTGAATGTGCTCCCTAGGACCATGAACACAACTTCCCTATTTCTAATCCTTCTCAGTAAGTTACTTCAAAATAATGGCACTGTTTTATTTTCCTAAATTGGCTTATTCTCACCTTCATTTTAATTGAACTAATAAGTTTTACTAATGCTTAATTATTAACTCATGACTGAAACATAATACATTGTCTCGTAATTAGAAATTATGAAGTGTTCAATGAAATTCTGCTCATTGAATGTGTGTTTATATATTCTTTCATTAAAAAGAAGAAAGGAGGAGTTTTTGCACAGATAATTTGATTAGGTCATGGATAACAAATAGATTGTTTTTTTACCTATTCCAATAACTATCCTATTGACATAGTTAAGAGATTGTGATGTTCTTTTCTACCTTGGCCCATCATAGCCTAGAATCTTCCCAACACAGCATGTTGCACAGCATTGCAATATTAGCAGAGTTGACAAAACTTGAAAAATTTTGCCATGCCAGGTTTAAGTCTTTAATGATTATCACTAGAGGTCTGTATAATTTAAAGAAAAGATATATATAACTTTTATACTTATGGAAACGTGTATGTGCATATGTGTATCTGTTACTAGACTCATATATAAGATTTTAAGTCAATTTAAGACAGAAAAAATATAGATCATTCCAGGTCCTTTCTTTCCTGCCTTAGTTGGATGTGTGTCTCGGTGACAACTGTGATTCTTGAAATGGGGCAATTAGGGTGTATTATCTCATTTCAAGTTTGAGATACTGGTAACACATCTAGGAAACCTACCAAGAGCCTGACTATGGAGGAAAAGTAAAACCTTTTTCTTCTTTATGGCAAAAGAAAATGGAGGATATTCTTGCCTCCCTTCTTCAAACACTGTAATCCTAGCTCTGAAATTGGAAAATGACACTGATTACTAACAGCAATCATACTGGAAAGTAAGTAAATGTAAGGAAAAATAGAAAAGGGAAGCAGGGTATTTTCAGTCTAGTAGATAGATCTAAACTTTTGTACACTAAAAAAATTTTATAAAGTTTTAGAAGATGATAAATATAAAAATGTGTCTCTGAAATTGATGCCATAATTTGAGAAAAAGTGAAAATTTGATCAGTCTATTTTTTATTTTTCTTTTTGAGACAGAGTCTCGCTCTCTCACACAGGCTGGAATGCAGTGGTGTGATCTCAGCTCACTGCAACCTC